ACACACACACACACACACACACACACACACACACACACACTCTCTCTCTCTCTCTCTCTCTCTCTCTCTCTCTCTCTCTCTCTCTCTCCCTCTCTGGCTCTCACTCTCTGTTCACTACCCCCCCCCCCCCGATGCTTTTTATATTGTTCAACCTAAAGTATTCAGAAAACCAAACACAAACTCTTGGTATAAATACACATTTACCATTTTACGCATTTGGTAGGGAGGGAATGGGTGAATGAATGAGTGGGAGAAAGAAGGAAGAGAAGATGCTGAAATTACGTGAGAATTAGAGAGGGCAAGAGAGAGAGAAAGAATGAGGGAGGGGTAACGAGTAAGAGAGGCAGAGACAGACAGTGAGAGAGAGAGAGAGAGAGAGAGAGAGAGAGAGAGAGAGAGAGAGAGAGAGGGAGAGAGAGAACGAGAAAGACAGACAGACAGGCAAACAGACAGACACACAGACAGACACACACACACACACACACACACACACAAAGCGAGAGAGTGTGTGGGCGTGTGTGTGCGTGTGTGTGTGTGTGTGTGTGTGTGTGTGAGAGAGAGAGAGAGAGAGAGAGAGAGAGAGAGAGAGAGAGAGAGAGAGAGATTGTGACAAGTTTATCATGTGGTATTTTGTACTACCTATTTTGTGTTGGGGAACCATACTGTATTTCTTTCAGTGAGCCATCGATATAGTACACCGTACTTTACCAATATCTGGTAGGCCTTTTTTTCCCCCAAATTTTGGATCTCTGGTTATTTCCCTTTCAATCAAAGAATCTATTCTGGTTGAACACAGTATCTGAGCCCACGCATTGACTCCCTTGATGTTCGGCCTTTCTGGAGTACGGGAATTCTATAAACAGCTGACCCGAGCAGGTTCGTTCAGGCAAGAAGTAACGATAAGCACTTTATAAACAAGCAGAGCCAGTCTCGCCAAAGGTCAAGTAGCGGTGCAGACATCAGGGTCTGTTAGCATCGTTTGGGCCAGTGCTTGCCAACCTGAGCGAAATAGAAAACTCGCGGGCGATGTGGTAATTTTGTTGGGCGGAAGGGATCACCGCGGGTAATATTTAATGTCCAGCTTGAAAATACATACAGGTGGGCGGTGAGCAAATATTGTAGCCTCTTCTTAAAGATGGCAAAAAATGGACGCTGGCTTGATACAGATTGGCAATCACTGATTTGGATAAATGCTGTATAGTTTGGGAGCAATTCTGTTTTAGTTTTAGTAAGCCTTTTTCAGCACTTGCAACACAATACGGTCATATTATTATAAATGCCGAATATTGGAGATGTTACAAGAGAGTAATAAACACGAAAAGTAGAAGAGATAAGGAGGATAGATGTTGGATAGAAGAGAAGAAGCAAACCACACCAGAGCACGCGCAAACCAACCAAGAAAGTGATTCGTGGTTTGGAGAAGTTAAGAGGACGTAAATAAGGAAAAGAAGGTCAGGGTCATGACGACTGAATCGTACGAGGAGGCTGGGCCAATATGTTACTAGAATATTATACTCTCTTGACTTGGTCCTATTGAAGATGGGCACTGATTCACTCAGGACGCCCACCCTTGTCAGTCGGCATCGCTTGAATTCGCGCTGTTTTTTTGGTCACTTAAAAAAAGCATAATACTGATACAGACTTTAAAAAAAGTTTTCTTAACCCTATCCGTACGCCCTGGGGTCATTTTAGACCCCTGGGGTTGTATTAATCACATTTCAGAATACTTCTAGTGCAAAGATCTCTTTGAAACTTTCAGTATTTCTCAAAAAAATCATTTAAAACACTGCTATGCAAAGCGTACGGATCGAATTAACGAGTAAATTTCCTCTTTGGAAAGTGGTGGCACAGAGTTCCCCACGTCGTGTGGATACGATCGTAAAACATGACGTACGGAAAGGGTTAATCTGAAACATGTAAAGGCAGGCGACAACATGGAACTATGATACAAGTTCGTGATTCTAATCTGTGTATGATGCTTTGAAAATAAGTGTATTATACCATTACCCTTCGCTACCTTAGAATTACAAAGTTCTATCTGACATTTTAAGTCGTTTTTAGCTACTATAGGACCATGAGGTAAAAAAAACCCCGAATGTTCTATAATATGCTCTAACAAAATCGTCAGATTGTTCGTAATCATTATCAAGATATTCAAAGAATTGCATTTAAAAAAGCTTGACGTGTTGTGAAACTTAAAATGTTTTACACCAAATTTATCAAAACTAGGTATTGAGCAGGTAGAACTTTGTATTTCTGAAGTAGCAATGTGTGGCTGCTACGTCCTTAAAGAGTTAAATTCGGAGGCCCCGCCTCTTATGACGTCACGATGTTGAGAGGAGCGGTTAACCCATACCATACAGCGTTAATTTAAAGAGGCGTTGTCTGCTAAACCAATACATATCTGATTTATTGCTCAGTACAACACATAGAATTTTATCCAAGACCTGAAAGTGGTTATTCATTCTCATCTTCATCGCGTTTATTTTTTTTCTGGGACACAAGCAAAAGTGTTTATCGTAAAGGACTGATTTGGACTGATTTAATTTGGCTACAGCGAATGTTTAGTCTGAACCAGCTGACGACATGAGAGCTCAGAATAAATTGTATATACACCTGCAGACGCCCAGACTTGGATATAAAACGCTCTGAGGTAAAGAGACGTTTGTTGTCAATATTTTTATGCCCGCATGGACACAATTTTGATCATTTAAGAACTAGGTCACTTCGACCCTGACAGCCAGGTTTAGTTTTGTTTTAGCTGCAGTTTTGAGGTACTTACAACTCGAATAGCTCATTAAGTGCTGAAGATTAGAAGTTTATGGGAGACCATCATACATAAAAAGAAAGAGGAGAGATACGGAAGATAATATGTTAGATAGAAAAGAAGAACACCCTTTTCAACAATGCACTGTCTTTAAGAGTCGATGTGGTGTCAGGCCGAAGGGCTAGAACTCCCATGGCCGCTGGATCGAAAAAGTAAAGTAAGTAAAGTAATGTAAGAGGCGGTACCTCAGTTGGGTTGAACTTAAATCTCCGATAGGATCAAGCCAAGTAGGTGGTGAGCCTTGAAAACTTATCCAACCCCCAAAGTTCTAGACAGCCACACCAGGGATTAAAACAAAGGGTTATCCGCTCTACATTCCAGCACGATACCATGACAAATGAGCTAACGGTGCGCACTGGATCATGGTCTTAAAACAAAGGGGAACAATTTCAGTAGGTAAAAACGCGTCGGGGATTTGGGGGGGGGGGGGGGGGGTCAGTTGGTTGATAATAACGTGTCGGGAATTGGGAAGGGGGGGGGGCGCTATCGCACGGCAGCAGCGGTGGTTATCTGCACGACACGACACTTTGCCTGTCAGAGCAAGTGATCGGATAAGGACACGGATCCCCGTCTAATATCCCACTCGTCTCAGACGATGCTGCGGCCCGGGGAAAGTTGAGACCGGGAGAAAAAGCGGAAGAACTATCGACCAGTGTCATCGAAACTCGGCAAACTATGCAACGGAACGCAGCGGCCGACCACACAGACACACACAGCCTTGTTGCTGAGGCGGAGATTACGGACAATCGGAATGATAACGGCTTCATTTTGCAAGGAACGGATTATGGCCACGGTCAGCCCATAGAAAGGTAGTTGATGAAGTTTATATTTTTGGCACGCAGCCAGATAACGGCCCCCGTCTCGCTAAGAAGAGATAAAAACAACAGTAATACTGAAAAAGAGTAGTTGAGTTTGTCCATTTTGGCACCAAAAAAATAGTCGCAGCATCTGGAACAGATTCAGGTTATAGAGAGCGAAGAAATGTTACCTTACGTCACAGAATTTCACTATCCCGCGTATGGAGCATGAGATAATTTCGTGAAAATGTGAAAAATTAACTTTTAAAAAATTAGTCTAGTCTCTGCCTCTTGGTTTTTACCATTTATATTTTAATGTCAAGAATAATTGATGAAAAGTAAAATGTGAGAGCTGATAATTAAAATTGCGCCAAGGTCAAATGCCTTAAGACCTGCATTTTCCTATTTTGTTCCATTCGCGAATAGCGCACTGCAATGACGATAAAGAGCACCCCAAAACAGCCCTATTACAGAAAGACAGTAGAGGGAACTATATAGACATAACTAGTGCTGACAATGTATCGCCGACTGAGGTGATTACAATCATCTCGTAAAAAGAAAGACATCAAGCAATGATAATATTGTTATTATGGTATCGTGAGGTCAAACATTTCTCTTTTGCTACAACTTCTTTTAAACGGCTCACCAAAATTAGCCAGATGCCATAATTGCTTGTTATGACGATTCTTACCAATGTTATCTGTTTGTGCAAAGATTAGTGCTATTTTTAATTTAGTTTAATAAGAGTTTTACGACACTTGCAAAACAATACAAGTGCCGAAGATTGGAGATGTTACAAGAAAGTAACAAACACAAAAAAGGAGGGGAGATAAGGACGATAGATGATTGATAGGAAAAAAGGAGAAAACCAACCCACGCACCTGCTAACCACCCACTTTGATGAAATTCATGATTTTTGTTTTGGTTATTGACCTGGACTGCTGCCAAACAGTCAACCAATCCATACAGTTTTTACCCTCTCACACCCCATAGATAGACTGATTATAAATACTTTACATCTACACAAGTTGGATTATTTAAGACAATCATTTTGGGCCCTGGGTCAACCAAGGCTTAATGTTAAACCCACACAATTCGCTACCTCAGAATTACAATGTTCTATCTGACATTTTTGAGATATTAAGATCATAAGACCAGGAATCAAAATGCGCAATCGGGTCTATCAAAATCGTAAGATTATTCAGAGTCGTTATCAAGATATTCAAAGTAGTGCATTCGAAAAAGCTTGATATTACATTGTGAAACTCAATTTTTTTACGCCAAACTTCTCAACACTGGGTATTGAGCCGACAGAATTTTGTACTTCTAAGATACCGAATTGCCTTTAATCTGCGTCAAGAAATTGCTGCACTTACTCTGTTGTGGCCTTTCCTTTCCACGCAGCAACACAGCAGCTGTAGTCTCCGATCCCAGCTTTCTTCGTAAGCACGAAACGCTTTCCTGTAGGAGAAAAAGAGAGGGAAAATAAAATAACCATCTTCGTTATCTGGGGGGGGGGGGGGGGGGGCTGCAAAACAAATCAACACTGTGTGCAGGTGCTGAAGACTTTCGTCTGAGTGCAGCTACCTTCAAACAAGGAGATTTCTTTATACCCAGTGAGACTTGCTACGTAATGAAATGTTTGACACCAAGGCTGCAAAAGTTGTTGAGGCCGATAAACAAAGGGAATATTAGATCGAAAATAAATTGTTTTCCTAGGAGCGGCTTTTTAAAATACTTCTTACAGATTCGATATGCTCTGCTTCGTGTAGCAGTCACTAAATACTCGACATATTTAAAGGATACGTTTTCTGTAACAAGCTGGAATTAAATCTCTCTCAATATCTTTTTATGCAGCGGAAATTCAATTTGTGATAAGAGTACGTCATTTTCAACCGGGATGCCACTTTTAAAATTATGGGTTTAGCGTCTCGAATGAGTATTATGGTTAAATTAACTCTGAAGGCCTACTTAATTAATACACCTAGACCTGGCTGGATGGGGTTCAAAAGGTCCTGGACCACCATGCTATATCAATCACAGACGCCACACACTTAGCATAGGACAGAAACCTGTACCTCCCCTCGAAATCCAAAGGATACCAGAGAAAGGAAAAAGTAGGTAGGCCTACTTAATACACCAGGTAGGACAAAACACAGCCGAAAGAGGCCGGCTCATGTTGCCTGAAATCGCATGAATTTGACACGAGTATACGCGATAAACAAAAACGACCATAGTCTCAGAAAAAAATGTTGATAGAAATTACAGACATTGTCATAGATTGTAACGTTGTTTTGGTATAAAGTCAGGGTGCGTCTACATTTAAACTACAGCTAGTTCCAGTTAACGTGTGGTGTCGCCAGCTATCTCTCGTTTGCTCCTTTGTTTGTTTGAATAAAACGAGAAGCTCGTCGACATAAAACAGGTCATGAAGTGCTGGGCGAAAGTGAGATATACAAACAGAAGAAACAGTTTTCTTTTTAAAATGGGCATAAAACTCTATACTTTCCAAAAGAGTACTAGACGAGCAGTCACAGACAGACCCATCAATTCCTTCTGCTCAAGACAACGCACCACGTTTTAGTTTGTTTGTTAATTTTTGTGGATATTTTTATTAAACAGAAGCACATCAACACAATAACAGTCATTAATTAGTGCTGAGAAAAGTAAGACAGACAGACAGAAACAACAGAGGGAAAGTAAAGAAGTAGGAACTACCTCCAGTGGCGCCCTCCAACCACCCGCACGAATAACGCAAACGTCAAAACACACGGAATAATTAGTTTAAGTAAGAGTTTTACGGCACTTGCAACACAATAAGGTCATATAAGTGCCGAAGAATAGAGGTGTTACAAGAGAGTAACATACACAAAAAGAAGGAGGAGACTAGAGATAAGGACGATAGATGTTTGATAGGAAAGAAGGGGTAAACCACACCAGAGCACCCGCCAACCACCCACACGGAATAATTAAAAATTCAACAGACAAAATGCACGATGGACTGGCATTAGAGCAAAGACGGATAGGTATTTGGGCGAATTTCTTTCTTTGCTCGGCACGGAATCAAGTATAAGGGGGCATGCTTTCTGAAAAGCAACGTTGGCAAGAGTTCATTGGAAAATGGGTATGGTGTTTAGCTACTTTAATGAATAAATAATGGACATAATGAAATACGTAATAGGTGAAAGAAAAAAGGACAGGAAGAAAGAAAGAAAAAAAAATCATACCCCGTTATTATCATCACAAAAATACAACGGAAACAACCCTTTTTTTAAAAACAACATCAACAGTAACGTCGACACACGACCAAACGCAAAGAACGATGAAAACAAAACAAAACAAATATATATTTTTTTTTTAAATAAAGAAGAATAGACCAACCAGTTTTCAAAAAACAAAACTAAAAACACGACATGCAATAACGACGATCACGCAAAAAGAACGAAATATTCCTTATATCCCTCTTTATGAGCACAGCACGAGCAACGCACGCACGCACACACACTCCCCCCTCCCACCCTTTACAACGCACATACAAACACAACACACGCACACACTCTTTCTCTCTCTCTCTCTCTCTCTCTCTCTCTCTCACGTACACACACACACACATATACACATACACACATACACACAAACACACACACATACACATACATACTCCCCCCCTCTCTCTCTCTCACGTACACACACACACACACACACACACACATACACACACACATACATACTCTCCCCCCCTCTCTCTCTCTCACGCGACGAACACACACACACACACACACACACACACACACACACACACACACACACACACACACACACACATAAACACACACAAACACACACATGCAGAGCATTTTTTTTCAAACTATAAACTAATTTGTTTGATCCACCCCACCAAAAAAAAAACAACCTTAAAAGTTACAGAAACATTCGATTACACAACGAGCTCTTTGGTCGAATAGCTTACTGACCTTCTCATTGATCCCAATCAAACATGCGTGATGATGTTATTTCCTTCATCGTGTTGTGAGGAATGAGCGCGTGAGAGAGACTGACTGAATGATTCATGTAGACAGACAACTTTGGCGGCTTTATGTCTGAGAATATTTAATGAAAAGCAGTCCCTATAGCTTTTCAGTTATATGAAATTGTATCAAGTGATAAATAGTGCAAATATAGAAACTTTCAAGCGAGGAAAGGACAGACAAGTGCGTAACATTTGATAACCAATTCACCCGAATCTCTCTTAATGTTCCAAAAGCAGAAAATTAATATACTGTTATAAAACTGAAGCTGAACAAAGATAGAGAAATACATTAAAAGCTTGGAAATGATTGCGAAGTGGTGCTAAATTTAATTAGAATCTAAAGAGAAGAAAAAGAGGAAGAAGAAGAAGAAGAAGAAGAAGAAGAAGAAGAAGAAGAAGAAGAAGAAGA